ACCCTGATGCTGGGAAAGATGGAGGGCATGAGGAGAAGGGGACGACAGAGGATGAGATGGTTTGATGGCATCATCAACTCAATGCACATGTGTCTGAGCAGACTCTGGGAGAAGTAAAGGACAGGCCTGGTGTGCTGCAGTCCATGGGGTTGCAAAGAGTTAGACAAGACTGAGCAACTGAACAACAGAAATTTTCACCTGCCATGCATCCTGATTGACACTCCTAATTATTGTTATTTAATTCAATCTTTCTTTCTAAAAAGTAACTCCCTTTTCTTTCTTTATCTTCAGATCCCCATCCCACCTGCTAACTCAAGTTCTTTATAGCCTAAAATGTTTTACTCTGATCCTGTATCTTTGCTTATAACTTATTTCTATTTCTCCTTTCAGCCAAATTTCTTCAATCATCTATAGTTTTGTTTCTCTTTTTCCATGTACTCTTCAAACCCATTGCTACCTCTCCCATCCTCCCACCTAGGCCCCACAACCTCATCAAAGTATTGTTATCAATGTCCAACATTTTTTAGCAACCTAGTGAAGACACTGCAGTTCTTTATAATAAAATGTAATACTTTATAATAAAATATGAGTTCCCTGGTAGGTCAACTGGTAAAGAATCCACCTGCAATGCAGAAGACCCTGGCTTAATCCCTGGGTTGGGAAGATCACCTGGAAGAGGGAATGGCAACCCACTCTAGTATTCTTGCCTGGAGAATTTCCATAGACAGAGGAGCCTGGCGGGCTACTGTCCATGGGGTTGCACAGTGTAGGACACGACTGAGCAGCTAAGCACAGTACATAATGAACTATAATACTTCAGTTGCATTTGAAAGAGCTGCCCATTCATTGTTAAAAAGATGGCTGTGACTTTGTGTGATTCTGCTTCTACTGCTAATTCTCTGACTACTCTTTCTTTGCAAGGTTTCTCTTCCTTTGTTCACAGGGGGGTGGGGTCCTGTATGGTTCCATCTTCTGGCCACTGTTTCTTCCATACCTGGGCCCTGTGTTTTAGCTCACAAATGGTCACATGATCCAGCCAGGATGATCAAAGTCTTTTCTAGGAATTTTGTTAGAAGTATCAGGAAGGTAAATTCTCCTTTCTTGGAGACAACTGGCTTTAAAACTCACACCAGCTTCGAGCTTCTAACAACTGTCTTCTCTAGGAGCAGAAAGCCAGTCTGAGAATAGAGTCAAAACATGGGGCAGCAATGTGGAGAAATGTGTTGTTATTACAATGCTACTGGATCTAGCCGTATTTGAAGCTTAAATTAATACTGGAACTAAAGTTGTATGGATGAATATATATCCTTTTTTAAAAGCAGATTTCAGTGGTGTTCCTGACACTTGCAACCAAGAGTTTTGGAAAATATACCTTCTCCCATCTTCTTATTTCCAGTGTGATCTTCATACTACAACTTCCCCACTGTGCCACCAGAGGGATTAATATAAGATGTACTACTGTTGGGGCCATTCTCCTGTTTAAGATCCTCTGATTGCTCCCTGGAGCCTACTCAGGGAGGCAAACTCAAAAGCCTTAAGGGAACAGGCAGAAGATGTAACTAAGGGAAGCAGGCCAGGTGGAAGATGATAGAAAGGGATGCCCTGCTCCAGCCGTTGTATTCAGAATGCAAACACCACATGCCTGCCAAGCACAAGCCTGAAGTTTGGGTTTGGCCTCTAGTCTACAAGTTTGCAACTTCTGGCCTTTGTTTACAAGTTCAAACTCCTGCACACATCCCAGGAGGAATTTGTGATCAAGCCCCTGATAATGCCCAAGACACATTTTCTGCCACTAGATGCTCTCGTAATACTAAATTGGAGCTGACACTTATTTTCATGAACCCATGTTTTTGCTTATGCTGTTCCTTTACCTAGAACCTCATTCCACCCCACCCTTCTATCATCATCTTCATCTTGCTAACTCCAACTTGTTCTTCAGTATTCAACTTAGGAGTTATCAGGTCCAGGGATCCTCCTCTGGATAAGACAGTTGTACTTCCTCCACAGCTCACCACATTCTTCTCTGTCACTGGATCCTATATGTGTGTCAGATTTTGTTGATTTCTGACCCAGAGTCATTGCTTCTCTTGTTTACTTGCTGGAAGAATTTGCCTCTTACAAAGGCTGAAAAAATGTGATATTCTCTCCCAGCCTGCCTTGAAGCTAAGGTCTGGGATGTGATCCAATCCCACTCAAAGGAGTGGATGGGAAATCTACTAAGGGATTCTTGGGAAAAATTTACCTCCCTGACAGCAAAGAAGTGATTTGGAGAACACCTGTCTTTTTCATTTCTTCCAATGAATGTAAATAGTTCTATGAGGAGTGATGTTGGGAGCAGCAGCAGCCAACCTGCAACTATGAGGAAAAAGTCAAAGAGAATCACAGAGAGGATGAGGCACATCCCTGAAGTCCCTGAGTTGCTGAACCAAACTGAGAACTATCTTTCAGACTTTTTGATATGCGAGATATAATAATAACCACCTGTTGCCCAAGTCACATTTTAGGGGTTGTTCTGTCATTTGCAGAATAAATGATTCAACATATCATGCTTACATTTCTATTGTGTTTTTCTCTTCTATTATCCTGTGAGTTATTTGTGGGGAAGAATGACCTCATATTCATATTTTTATCACTGATGTCTAACAGAGTAGGAACTCAGTAAGTTAAAAAAATTATTGACATATAAGTTGATTTACGATGCTATGTTAATTTCTGCTGTGCAACAAAGTGACTCAGTTATAGATATATGCTTTTTCATCATGACTTTTTGCAGGACATTGAATATAATTCCCTGTACCATACAGTAGGACTTATTGCTTATCCATCCTATGTATAATGGTTTGCATCTGGTAATCCCAAACTCCCTCCCCTCCCCTCCCTCAGCGCCCCCTTCCCTTCGGCAGCCACAAATCTGTTCTCTTTGTCTGTGAGTCTGTTTCTGTTTCATAGATAAGTTCATCTGTGTCATATTTTAGATTCTGCACGTAAGTGATATTATATGGTATTTGTCTTTCTCTGACTTTGCTTGATCTGATAATCTCTAGATCCATCCATGTGTGATGTTCGTTGAAGGATTTATTTTTCCACAATTTTCCCCTAGGAGCTACAGTAAACAGTGTGTGCCAGACAGTGTCTGTCCCATTTAGGAGATAACCCCTCAGTGTTGGGAAGTGGAAATATGTCAGTGAATCTTATGTGGCTAATCCCCTGGGGATTTAAGGGAATGAAGGATCTGGTACAAGTGTTGTGTCATCTCCTTGGAATTGACTAGTGCTATTCACATTGTTTATTCAGATCTTATGAAAGCTTTCTGCAAAGTCTAGCACATATGTAGCTGAAAGGTGTTTGGGGTGGAGAAGGGAAGGGTGCTGGGTGTTTACAGACCCTTCCTCTGTGCTGGGCCATCTCATCTCCTGTTGTTCCTAAGGCCCCTTTTCTGACCCTATCCCTGGAGCTCAGTGAGACAGAAATGATCGCTTTTTCCATAATCAAATCCATCAAATGCCTTGGACTTCACTTGATCCTTAGCTACTGCCTAAACTCTGTCACTAAAAGTTGGAGTTTGCCCTTAGCTCCTTGGAGGCTTATGAGATTCCATTGTTATGAAAATGTTCAGAGCATTACACTAGCTTTGGCTAAAATTGGGGCAGCAAATAAAAAAAGGCCGAGTTACTTCAGAGAATCCATTTGGCAGCCTCATTTCTCTAAGTCCATACATTTAATTTTATGGTTTGTTACACAAATCAGTTGAATTCATTGAATCAGAGGGAGCCCTGTAAACTAAAAGAGCAGACATTCCTTGGGCTGTTATGTTCTTACTTACAAGGGAGAAGTCACTTTAGATTTCAACATTGACTCACCCAGAAGCCATTCTTCTTTTCTCATTTCCAGAGCCATACTAACTTAAGTCCTAACAGCCTCAGATCTTCTTGGCTCTGAATTTTTAAGAGTGGAGTCAGATCTTCATGGAATCTGAGTCTCAGAGTTTGGAACTTCTGCAGCAGAAAAGTGCCTTATATAACAGTGTTGTTACGGTGGAGAGTTTGAGTGGGGGGTAAGGGTGGAGGCTGCTATGGCCTAGATCGTTATTCCTAGATCATTAATGACCCCACACACAAGAAGCCCAGCATCTGAGTATGCGTGGGTGTGTGCATTTTCTAAGGAGAGGAGGTAGGTTATGTTTCTGTTTTTTTCATGGCCACCAGTTTGCTACTATTTGATTTCAGAAGAGTAAATTTAAGCCTTCATCCTAGATGAATGGCAACCCACAGCCAGCAAACTCCCTGCATCTTCAAGCTCTTGGCTGAGCTTCTCTCAGCTTTCCCTGAATCCTGTCTTTTCTCTAAGGAAACAATATTTTTGAATCCCCTCAATTTGCCTGCTTTTCTTCTCCCATATGCCATGTAACTCAGGGTGGGAGGAGACTTTTTGTTTCCTCTTCAATTAACAACACAACTTGGAAGTCTTTGCTTTCCTGGTGGCTCAGACGGTAAAGAACCTGCCTGCAACGCGGGAGACCCGGGTTCGATCCCTGGGTCAGGAAGATCCCCTGGAGGAGGAAATGGCAACCCACTCCAGTATTCTTACCTGGAGAATCCCATGGACAGAGGAGCCTGCTAGGCTAAAGCCCATGGGGTCTCAGAGTCGGGCACAGTTCAGTTCAGTTCAGCCGCTCAGTCGTGTCTGACTCTTTGCGACTCCATGGACTGCAGCACACCAGGCCTCCCTGTCCATCACCAACTTCCAGAGTTTACTCAAACTCATGTCCATTGAGTCAGTGATGCCATCCAACCATCTCATCCTCTGTCATCCCCTTCTCCTCCTGCCTTCAATCTTTCCCAGCATCAAGGGTCGGGCACAACTGAGAGACAAACTCTTTCAGGTCCTTTTCAGCCCATTCCTTCCATCCATCCATCCATCAACTCATCTACACGTCCATCCATCCACCCATCCATCTAGTCAACAAATGTTTATTGAGCACTTTCTATCTATTCCACCAGGAGTTTTTCTAGGAGCCGAGGATACAGTAGTGAACAAGCCGAGCGTGTCCCTGGTGTCACAGAGATTACAACAATAAACCAAGAAGCATTAAACACAACGTCAGAAAGTGAAAGTGCTATGAAGAAAAATTGCAGCGGCTATGAGACTAGGCCTCTCGGATCTCCGTCTGCCGCCTGTGTAAGTGACCGAGAGCTCCAGCAGCCGCATTCTGAAATCCAGTGCTGTGTTTTTGCCTGGGACCCTGCTTCTCAGGTCTGTTGTCTGCCAATAGCTGAGCAGGGCAGGACACTAAGACGGAGGCAGGGCTCATTGATGCGGGACTTCGGCTTGAATACTCTCTGAAGGTCTTGTGGAAATTTCCTTTGAAGTCTATTATAGTCTAAGACTTTCCTCCTCCCGCATATTCTCCCCCCCTCCTTCCCTTTGTCCTTCCTTCCTTCCCTTTCTCCTTCACTCATGAGCAGACCTTCATTGCAGCTTTTCCAGTCCATCCCAGTTACCTCCCTTCAATTTCTTATGTTTCCCCTGATCATGTTCGGTAATTCTTATCCCAGCTTGGCATCTTTTTTTCCTAGAGGACCTGGACTAACACAAGACTAAAGCAGCCTGAAAGAAGACTTGGGGTGGGGGCTGCTTTAGATAAGTGGCCAGGAAAACACCCCACCCCACCCCACTCGGCCCTGCCCAAGACAGGGGGAATTTGTTTAGGGACTTGATTGGTGTGAGGGGATGATCCAGGCAGACAGCTCGGGGAGGTGCACTTCAGGCAGAAGGAAGAAGGGAGAGCACATGTGGAGACTTTGAGCCTTGGCTTTCAAAGGGCTCCCTTAAAACTGCTGAGGGGTGGGGAGCAAGATCGGGCGGATCTCTGGGTTCCCTCCAAACTCACTCTCATTTCGAGTAGTTCTGCCTTTATCTGCTTTGCATATTTGGCTTCTTTAGAGGAATTTTAGATGAACAAAGAGTTCCAGGTTTAAAATATAAGTATTCTGAGAACCACTCTTCTGTATGGGCTCTGTGATCTCTGCCCTGTTCTATCAGCCTGTTGGCCATGGGAAGTGGAAGAAATTGCCTCTATTTGGAAGCCTAATTGTTCCATAGAGATACTGGATTAGTGCGAGCTAGGTGTAGATAAGGGGAATTAGAGTAAGTGATTAAAGAACTTGGTGCATGGAGTCTGATGGAGAGAGTGGGGCTTGAAAATGTGGGGGAATTTCATGCTAAGCTCTGAAGCCCTATGTTGGATGACAGCCGGAGGGAACTGGTGTAGATCAAGTCTGCAGAAGTGGACAAAGGACAGCCAGAAGGGGGTGGGGTTTAAAGGGTTGTCCTCCATGTGTGGTGGTGTTTAGAGGAACAGTGGGCGAAAACAGCTGCTCAAGAACTCTGATTTCAAAGTTTAAAACATTAATACTGCCCAGAGGGAAGGTGACAGAATTTACCTGTTGCCAGAAGAGTTGATAACTGAATTTATAAAAATTTCTTGGCACTTTTTTTAGTGTTAAAATTTTGTATTTTTCGCCCCCTGAGTTTTCAGGAGGAAAAGAATCTGGCAGCTGTAATGCAAAGACTGAGCTGGGTGTAAGAGGCATTTTCCCCCTCCAGTCCTGTTTTTTTAAAAGTTGTATAGTTAATTTACAATGTTCTGTTAGTTTCAGGTGTATGGCAAAGTGATTTATATATGTGTATGTGTATACAATATATTTACTTTTTCAGATTCTTTTCCATTATGTTAGTGTTAGTTGCTCAGTCGTGTCTAACTCTTTGTGACCCCGTGGACTGTAGCCTGTCAGGCTCCTCTGTTCAAGGAGTTCTCCAGGCAAGAATATTGGAGTGGGTTGCCATGCCCTTCTCCAGGGGATCGTCCTGACCCAGGGATNAGCAGGGGACAGGCAGAAGACAGCAGCTATAGTTTTCTTTACTCTGAGGGGATAAGGAGTCTACCAATTACAGTGGGAATGAACAGCAGATTGGCTCATTGATTACCATGGAAACCAGAAAAGGGCCACATCCCTCTTAGCCCCTCAGGCTAATTACTCTCATGGGTCAGAGGTCTTTTCTTTGTTAATTTAAGGGCAAACAGTCATCTTGAAATGGCCAGAAAACACAAAGGAAATAACAAGAGAGGGGTGTTAACACCCTGTATAAATCCATGCATACTCAGTCACTTAGTTATGACCCCACTGTTTGTGACCCCATGGACTATATCCCACCAGGCTCCTCTGTCCATGCTATTTTCCAGGCAAGAATACTGGAGTGGGTTGCCATTTTCTCCTCCAGGGGGTCTTCCTGACCCAGGGAAGTGGTATTCTTACTGCCTGCCCCATTGTAGTAAGAGCCTACTAATACACCTGGTAATTAGATTCCTCTGTATCATCTCACACTCTGAGTGCTAGACAGGGGGGTGTGGCCAGGCCTACCTGTTGGTATACCAGATGGCTCTGGAGATAGTGGGAAGGAAATGCTTCACACAAAATAAGGATATGGGGTTTATCAGGATGTGAATGCTGGCTCTCAGTGAATGCCAGGGTTGGTCTGGCATTCTGAACCTCTGAAATACTGATTTTTGGGGTGTGTGTGTGTGTGTGAGTGAGGCTGTTCTGTGCATAGGAGTTTAGAAGCATTCCTACATATTAGATGCTGGTGGCACATTTTCCCCTAACCTGTGACAATCAAAAATATCTAAAGATACTGCCAAATATCTCTTGGGTGGCAAAATCACTACCAGTTGGGAACCACTGATTTAGCTGACCTGGCTTCAGTTTGTCTGTTAAAATAAGCACAGAAAATGACAATGAATGATACCATTTATCAAGCAATTAGTCCTCCAGACATCCAGTTAAGCACTTTTAGGAATTAATCTAATTTTGTTGTTGTTCAGTCGCTCAGTTGTGTCCAACTCTGTGACTTCATGGACTGCAGCACACCAGGCTTCCCTATCCTTCCCTATCTCTTGGAGTCTGCTGAAACTCATGTCCATTGAGTCAATGATGCCATCCAACCATCTCATCCTCTGTCACTCCTCCTGCCCTCCATCTTTCCCAGCATCAGGGTCTTTTCTGATGAGTTGGCTCAGTTGGCCAAAGCACTGGAGCTTCAGCTTCAGCATCAGTCCTTTCGATGAATATTCAAGGTTGATTTCCTTTAGGGTTGACTGGTTTGATCTCCTTGCTGTCCAAGGGACTCTCAAGCATCTTCTCCAGCACCAGTTTGAAAGCATCAGTTCTTTGGAGCTAAGCCTTCGTTATGGTCCAACTCTCACAGCTATATGTAACTATTGGACCTTTGTCCATAGCAAAGTGATGTCTCTGCTTTTAGAAAGAGTTTTAGTTAGCTAGGGCTTCCATCATAAATTACCACAGGCTAGGTTTCTTACACAACAGAAATTGATTTTCTCACAGTCCTGGAGGCTGGAAGTCTGAGATCATGGTGTCCTCAGGGTTAGTTTCTTCTCAGACCTCTCCCCTTGGTGTGGAGATGGCATCTCCTCAGATGGTCCTTCCTCTTCGTGTGTCTGTATCCTAAGCTTCTCTTCTTATAAGGAGTTTGATCTTACGGGATGAGGACCTACTCAAATGATTTAAACTTCATTACCTCTTCAAAAACCAATGCTCTAAATGAAGTCATATTCTGAGGCACGGAAGATTCAACACATGAATTTTGGTGGACACAGTACAACCCTCAGAGAAAGTTTACAAATGAGGATGCTCAGGACACAGAGGGGAAAGTAAGACTGGCTTGAGGAACACCTTTAGAATGTGGGGGAAGCAAGACTGATCTGTCCAACTCCAGAATCTGTGCTATTGACCACACTTCCCCCAAGAAATATTGCTTCCCCAAGAAATATTGCTTCCCCAAGAAATCAATTCCATGAGGAACTTAGGAAGGTAAGCACTATATGCAAGTATTATGCAATGAGTTTCTCTCTCTCTCTGTTTTATAGTTGGTTTCTTCAAGAGTGATGCTCACTCCCCTTACATACCTGTGCATGGGAAGACCTCCCCAAGAGTAACTTCTCTCTCCTGAGAAAAGCTATTTAGGTTGTAGAAAATTATCAGCTACTGCAGGGCTGGTCTGGACAACTCAATTCACTTACTAAAAACATGTTTCTAGACCTCTTCGATAAGACAGAGAAAAAGCCTTGAAAATTTTTACCCATTAATCTAGCAGTTCCATTCCTTGGAATTTATCCTTAGGAAGGAATTAGATATGTGTACAAAGATTTATGCATAGTATATTTGATTTTAGCATGATTTGCAAGAGCAAACATTGGATAGATATTGGATAAATAAATGACGGTGTGTCCATATGGTGCAATGTTCAACTTGTAGATGAATATTTTCTTCCAAGGGAAAAACTTCATCCTATATTATTCTTTGAGGAAAGAAAAAAGATTGGAATGCCACAGGGAGCATGATTCTGACTTCTGAAAGTGTCACTATCACAGTGGACGAGAAGGGACCTGTAGGATGCAATGGAAGTGAATTGTATCCTTGGTCTCCCGCCGTCCTGTCAAATTTTCTGTAGGTTTTATCTGGCTCCTTGATAAAACTGGACTTCTTTTGTCACTGTTATCTACAAAACAGTCATCCAGTTACTTTTCCACAAAAACTCGGACTCCATTTAGTAATTAATAGGTCCACTCCAGTGTAAGGACTCGACAACCCCAATCTTCATTGTGAGTGACCATTTCTTCCTTCTCCAGCTTGGCTGGCTCCTGGAGTGAGTGAGAGGGGGTGGGGACTTCTGGGTCTCTTTTTCTTCACTTGGTGTTTCTGTTTCCTTCTCATCTTCCCTGAGCCCCTGGTTCCTCCAAAACTGGGAAGGGAGAGAGAGGAACAAGTGTCTCAGACGCTGAGTCGTGTCTGACTCTTTGCGGCCCCCATGAACTGTAGCCCGCCAGCCTCCTCTATCCATTGGATGCTCCAGGCAAGTATACTGGAGGATTCCTCCTCCAGGGAATCTTCCCTCCCAGGGATCAGACCTGGGGTCTCCTGCACTGCAGGCAGACTCTTTACCATCTGATCCACCAGCGAAGCCCAGAGAGGAGCAGAAGGGCAGGAAAAGATTTACTGCACTGGTGCTGTTCTAGCCCTCCAGGTCTGACAGTAGACTGATCTCAAGTGTTCCTTCCTGGGTTTTTTGCAGCCAACCCCTCCCTCTTCCCGGGGGCACCT